TCATTTTTATGAAATTCGCAAAATGTATTTTTTATTAACCTCTTCACGCTGAGTGCGTCCTCCCGGGGTCTGGGCCTTGACGCCACCAAGCGGCCGCACATTTGCGTGCAATTAAAAAAAAAACGTGCTGAGAGCCTGCGAGCCCCAGCACACGTCCGGTACTCACGGAAAGGTCCCGATCATCTCTTGCGATCGAGACCTTACCCAATCATGTGACCACCGGGACAATGAACCACGGCGGTCACATAACCCTAAAACTCCACCCGCCCCCCGGCTTATGAAACCCTTCGAGGGGCCGGGCGGTGCAGGAGCCAAGGGGGGTTAAAGCACGGTTCTTGCCTAGTTTTCAGATTTACAAATGCCCCCCCCCCCCCCCGTAAATCCTTACAGCGGGGGAGGGGGGGTTTGGGGGGGGCATTCATACATCTTCAGCCAGATGAAAACTGGGAACGAACCGTTTTTTGGGCTGTTCTGGAACTGCAAGCCTCTCCGATGCTGAAAACATGGAACTACCAACAATTGGCGAGCCAGCCAGGCTTGTCCTATAAATCTAGAAAGTTGCATTGCGAACATGAACTGCGTGACGGGAGATTCTGCCGCCGTGTATTGCTGTGCCTATGCCCGGTTAACATTTATTAAATAAATACATCGTTACATATTCACAGTTAATGCGCTGCTCCTGTGAGCAGTATCCAAAAAAAAGAAAGAAAAAAAAAAAAAAAAGCAATGGTACCTCATACACCTTGTGGAAGAAAATCCAAGTAAAAAAAAAAGTGAAACTTCTTGCACTCAGCCAAGATATGCAAAACATTCGGCCAGGTCACCTCTGGAAAACAATGCAAGCTTTTATTTGATAAATAGGTTCAGGTTTCATCACTAAAATATTCCTCTTCTTAAAAATGTGGAATTGGCTTTTGTGGAACAACTTGCATCTGTTTCAACTTGAACTTATTCCAGAAACAACTTGCAGAATGTAGGAACCTTTCAAATTACGATTTCATTCTTTTGCTTTCAACAAAATTCGCACTCTGTTTAGCTCTAGGACTACAAAGACCCTCCCGAGAGGCATCCAGAGTCCGATGAGCGCCGCGGGGAATCCACAATGATCTAACAAGGGTTGCCAAGTGAAATGGTGACCATACATCAAAACTCTCCCCGCCGATACACATCCCTCAAAATTTCAGACCCAAATATAAAATGGGAACAAAAGAATAACACAGCCCACCCCCGCCCCCCCCAAATATCATATCGCCTATATATAAAAAAAAGATCTCTTTCTAAAGGATACATTAAGACCAGAATTACACACGGCTTCTATAGAGCGGAAAAAAATGTACAGGCACATACAGATACACAAACCCAAGCAAGAGAACAGGGGGGTTCGGAGAGAATATCACACAAAATTTACATGAAAGAAAGTTTTTTTTTGTTTTTTTACTCTTCTCTTCCTCTTGGAGGGATTACAAATTACTTCTGCAAAGTCTTCCTTGGTTTGAAGCTTTTGGAACTGTATAAAACAATATTCCCCAGAGATATAGAATAAGCCAGTACAAAATCAGGACAGCAATTTTTTTAACTCTTTTTTTAATAATATTATTTAAAAAAAAAAAAAAAATAAAATAAAAACAGAATAAAAAAAAAAAAATAAAGTCAAGCAAGAGTGAGGCACTGTGGAACCTGAATCTGCAGTATTGGGGAGGGGACACAAATAACGATGGTTATGTACAATGACCTAGGTTAAAAAAAAAAAAAAAAAAAAGTCATTACATTAACATGGAGATTCCTGCAGGCCATTTTGTTCAAAGTAGGACGAATAACTCCGCCAACGATGTAACTTGGAAGGTCAATGAACCTTTCAATGAAGGCTTGACAGCGTACACGAGTAAATTTTATGCTGAGGGCCATATGACGTGTCCTACATCCGTAGGCATCCATAGTGAACTCTAGTCTACAATGGTTCCCAACTCCCGTTGCTGCCGCTGACCACAGGTCAGGTTCCCTATTTCTCAACAAGATCATGGGAAAATAATTGGTGTGTGCTTCCTTCCAGCTGATGTCAGGGTTTTGACAACATTATCAGTTCTGAATAGGAAAGAAGAAATTGATGTCTAACCACAACTTGTGGCCAACGGGGACTAGCGCTTCTCAATTCGGCCTTAAGTACCCCCAATCCGAAAGAGGAAAGAAGTTTGGAAACTAATCTAGTGACACATGAAATCACCTGTGTGAGACGGAGCAAATCCAAAATTCTGGTCTGCTGGTGTCTGACCTCAACTTGTGGCCACCAAGGACTATTGCTTCTCAATTTCGGCTTAAAGTACCCCAAGTTCTATGTATTTCTGAAAAAGGAAAGAAGTTTGGTAACTAATCAAATGACACATTAAATCAGCTGTGGTAGACGGAGCAAATCCATATTCTGGTCTGCTGGTGTCTGACCTCAACTTGTGGCCACTGAGGACCATTTCTTCTCAATTTCAGCCCTAAGTACCCCGAGGTGTATGGATTTCCAAAAGGGAAATAGGTTTCAGGTTCAATCAAGTGACACATTAAAATCCCTTGTGCAAGACAGCAAATTCAAAATTCTGGTCTGCTGGTGTCTGACCTCAACTTGTGGCCAAGGACTATTGCTTCTCAATTTCGGCTTGAAGTACCCCAAGTTCTATGGATTTCTGAAAAAGGAAACAAGTTTGGAAACTAATCAAATGACACATTAAATCAGCTGTGTGAGACGAAGCAAATCCAAATTCTGGTCTGCTGGTGTCTGACCTCAACTCGTGGCCACTGAGGGCAATTTTTCTCAATTTCAGCCTTAAGTACCCCGAGGTTTCTGGATTTCCGAAAGGGAAAGGTTTCGAGTTTAATCAGATGACACATTAAATCACTTGTGCAAGACGGAGCAAACCAAATTCTGGTCTGCTGGGGGTACTTGGTGGAACAAGGTTGAGACCCTTCAGTACACAAAATTTGTCTACACCTCGAGCCCCTGTGTATGTCCACAAGAACGAGGTGTGGTCAACTTGCTCTAAAAAGTCAAGAAGTCAAGGAAACAAATCTGCATTCTCTTTTCATAGTTGACTACAGTAAGCTGATGTCTGATTGGTTATTGTACTTCACCTATCACTGCTCCTTGCACATCCTTTAATAAGCTAGTTGGCTTGCAGAGTTTTGACTTTACGGTCACATAAACCTTGATTGTGATGTAGTAACAAGGCCACATTGGGTAATCTTGGCTCTAGATTACGAACCTGTAACTGTATGCGTCTTTCTTGTGACAACACCGTTTTTTTTTTTTTTTTTTTACGCGCCTTGCAAACGTCGGCCTCCTGGGTGGACATTACTTTCCCTCAGCCCTTACACTCCTCTAGGAATCGCTGATTGACCCGATTGTTTTTACGCGCCTTGCAAACGTCAGCCTCCTTGGTGGACATTACTTTCCCTCAGTCTTTACACTCCTCTAGGAATCGTTGATGACCGATTATTTTTACGTGCCTTGCAAACGTCAGCCTCCTTGGTGGACATTACTTTCCCTCAGCCTTTACACTCCTCTAGGAATCGCTGATTGACCGATTATTTTTACATGCCTTGCAAACGTCAGCCTCCTTGGTGGACATTACTTTCCCTCAGTCTTTACACTCCTCTAGGAATCGTTAAACTGATCGTGTAAGAAAGACATAGAAAAGGAGTTCCAATTACGTCTTTGGTCAAAGACATCAACTGGATCATAGTAGACCCACTTAGGGTAGAGGGTATGCAATTCCTATAGTCATTGGCCAAAGCAGAATAAAAGGTACCTTTTTACAGGTAGCTCTATTTTTGCACCTTTTTGTGGTGAATTAAAACTTGTTGCATGGGCAATTGAGTGTTTGATGCTTCATGAAGAGATATTTGCTGCCACCACTTTGTGTTGGCCAAGCCAGAAACGTTCAATGTTCGGTATTGCTGGACCCCAGCCAAGATGACATTTGCACTAATGGCCATTAAAACCCATTTACAATTTCCTTTAGTTAGGAATAGTCTGGGGAAGGGTTGGAACCTTCATCAGGTATTTTTTTTGTCTGTGTTCCCAGTCTAAGATTGCCCCATCTCTTCCTCCCCCCAGACTACAGTAAAACCTGAGAGGGGTCCAACCTTTCCCTAGGCTATCCAACTCTTCCACGTCTTCCCACTAACCCGATCCTCCCTCATTTTTACAAATATAGTTCTAATCTTTAAAAGAAAAATAAAATAAAATTGGGAGCATTTACAAGTTATGGAAGTTTATATTTAAATAAGTTTAAAAATATGCAAAAAAACGTTCTTAATATTACAATACCAGAAAACTACCAAAAAATTTTAAAAAAAAGAATGCATAGCAACAATGTGACGATTGGGCTCCATTTGAGCCTCGTAGTTTTCTGGTGTCACAGATGAATGCTGGTTCAACCACCAATGGCCAACTCAACGTTGAGCCGGCGGACAGGGTCAACCTATATTTAGCGTTTACGTGAAAATGCTACTTAAAAGTCAGGATGGCGTTTTTAGGTGGAGGAGGAGGAGTCGGGCATTTTTTTAAAAAAAATTCCTGTTCCTGGGATCTACCCTTATAAAATTTGCCGTCCTTCACATGAAACCCCCCCACTACGTGTTCCTGAAACGGTGCACCACCCGACCCCCCACTGCCAATTACATTCCCCTCCCCCCAGGATACAAGAAACGCCAACGCCTTCTCGTTGGGAAGCAGTTAAAGGGTCCACAGTACCTCAGTCCCTCTTTAGCTCTCACAGTAACCCCTTTCCTAGAAAGGCATGACCTGAAGTAAAGGGGTTCAATTTTAAAATGTCATTTTTTTTTTTTTTCAATTTACAGGTAGATAAGTTTCAACTTTTTTTTTTTGTATTTTTTTGTGGTTTTTTTTTTTTTTTTTTTATTTCCTCGGCTTTTTATTTTAAAACAACATTTTTTGTTCCTCCACATGGGCCTGTTATACACATATATATATTTATTTGAAGGGTTGTGTGCGTTTACTGTGAAGCCTGTGAGGTCGGGTTTTCCGATTTGCTCTCTTGACTTGAGGGCGGTTTTGCTGTTCCAGGGACTGTTGGCGCCAAGCGCGGGAGAGTTATTGAAGCTGTCCTCGTCGTCAATCCCGTTGGCGGCGTCAAATTGGGTGTTCTCCAGGCGGGTTATCAGTCGTTCATCTTCATCCCCCGAACTCTCCGCCCATTAAGGTTGGTTCGCCCACCACCATTACATCCTGAAAGGGAAGATTTCCACAAACATAATCAAGGTAGAGGCGAGTCCCTTCCTTCCACAACTACGCGTGGTCAGAAGCGGCTTCTTGAAGCTCAGTGGGCAGCTGAGGCCTAAAAAAATGCATGTAACATGAGGGTAGTAGGATGAACGCCCTACTGCGATCACAAAGAAGCATGTGCATGACATTGACCCCTATAGCCTATGGAAAACCATACACTAGACACTGAGCCCTACAGCACAGGGACATCCCCATACACTAGACACTGAGCCGTACAGCACAGGGACATCCCCATACACTAGACACTGAGCCCTACAGCACAGGGACATCCCCATACACTAGACACTGAGCTCTACAGCACAGGGACATCCCCATACACTAGACATTGAGCTCTACAGCACAGGGACATCCCCATACACTAGACATTGAGCTCTACAGCACAGGGACATCCCCATACACTAGACACTGAGCTCTACAGCACAGGGACATCCCCCTACACTAGACACTGAGCTCTACAGCACAGGGACATCCCCATACACTAGACACTGAGCTCTACAGCACAGGGACATCCCCATACACTAGACACTGAGCCCTACAGCACAGGGACATCCCCATACACTAGACACTGAGCCCTACAGCACAGGGACATCCCCATACACTAGACACTGAGCTCTACAGCACAGGGACATCCCCCTACACTAGACACTGAGCTCTACAGAACAGGGACATCCCCATACACTAGACACTGAGCTGTACAGCACAGGGACATCCCCATACACTAGACACTGAGCTGTACAGCACAGGGACATCCCCATACACTAGACACTGAGCCCTACAGCACAGGGACATCCCCATACACTAGACACTGAGCCCTACAGCACAGGGACATCCCCATACACTAGACACTGAGCCCTACAGCACAGGGACATCCCCATACAGGAGACACTGAGCCTACAGCACAGGGACATCCCCATACACTAGACACTGAGCTCTACAGCACAGGGACATCCCCATACACTAGACACTGAGCTCTACAGCACAGGGACATCCCCATACACTAGACACTGAGCCCTACAGCACAGGGACATCCCCATACACTAGACACTGAGCCCTACAGCACAGGGACATCCCCATACACTAGACACTGAGCCCTACAGCACAGGGACATCCCCATACACTAGACACTGAGCCTACAGCACAGGGACATCCCCATACACTAGACACTGAGCTCCTACAGCACAGGGACATCCCCATACACTAGACACTGAGCCCTACAGCACAGGGACATCCCCATACACTAGACACTGAGCCCTACAGCACAGGGACATCCCCATACACTAGACACTGAGCCCTACAGCACAGGGACATCCCCATACACTAGACATTGAGCTCTACAGCACAGGGACATCCCCATACACTAGACACTGAGCCCTACAGCACAGGGACATCCCCATACACTAGACACTGAGCCCTACAGCACAGGGACATCCCCATACACTAGACACTGAGCCCTACAGCACAGGGACATCCCCATACACTAGACACTGAGCCCTACAGCACAGGGACATCCCCATACACTAGACATTGAGCCCTACAGCACAGGGACATCCCCATACACTAGACACTGAGCCTACAGCACAGGACATCCCCATACACTAGACATTGAGCTCTACAGCACAGGGACATCCCCATACACTAGACACTGAGCCCTACAGCACAGGGACAACCCCATACACTAGACATTGAGCTCTACAGCACAGGGACATCCCCATACACTAGACAATGAGCTCTACAGCACAGGACATCCCCATACACTAGACACTGAGCCCTACAGCACAGGGACATCCCCATACACTAGACACTGAGCTCTACAGCACAGGGACATCCCCATACACTAGACACTGAGCCCTACAGCACAGGGACATCCCCATACACTAGACACTGAGCTCTACAGCACAGGGACATCCCCATACACTAGACACTGAGCCCTACAGCACAGGGACATCCCCATACACTAGACACTGAGCCCTACAGCACAGGGACATCACCATACACTAGACACACTAGACACTGAGCCCTACAGCACAGGGACATCCCCATACACTAGACACTGAGCCCTACAGCACAGGGACATCCCCATACACTAGACACTGAGCCCTACAGCACAGGGACATCCCCATACACTAGACATTGGAGCTCTACAGCACAGGGACATCCCCATACACTAGACACTGAGCCCTACAGCACAGGGACATCCCCATACACTAGACACTGAGCCCTACAGCACAGGGACATCCCCATACACTAGACATTGGAGCTCTACAGCACAGGGACATCCCCATACACTAGACACTGAGCCCTACAGCACAGGGACATCCCCATACACTAGACATTGGAGCTCTACAGCACAGGGACATCCCCATACACTAGACACTGAGCCCTACAGCACAGGGACATCCCCATACACTAGACATTGGAGCTCTACAGCACAGGGACATCCCCATACACTAGACATTGACCCCTATAGCCTATGGAAAACCATACACTAGACATTGAGCTCTACAGCACAGGGACATCCCCATACACTAGACAATGAGCTCTACAGCACACGGACATCACATACACTAGACACTGAGCCCTACAGCACAGGGACATCCCCATACACTAGACACTGAGCCCTACAGCACAGGACATCCCCATACACTAGACACTGAGCCCTACAGCACAGGGACATCCCCATACACTAGACATTGGAGCTCTACAGCACAGGGACATCCCCATACACTAGACATTGACCCTATAGCCTAGGGAAAACCATACACTAGACATTGAGCTCTACAGCACAGGGACATCCCCATACACTAGACAATGAGCTCTACAGCACACGGACATCACATACACTAGACACTGAGCTCCTCTACAGCACAGGGACATCCCCATACACTAGACATTGATCCCTATAGCACATGGAAAACCATACACTAGACACTGAGCTCTACAGCACAGGGACATCCCCATACAGGAGACACTGAGCTCTACAGCACAGCACAGGGACATCCCCATACACTAGACACTGAGCCCTACAGCACAGGACATCCCCATACACTAGACACTGAGCCCTACAGCACAGGGACATCCCCATACGCTAGACACTGAGCCCTACAGCACAGGGACATCCCCATACACTAGACACTGAGCCCTACAGCACAGGGACATCCCCATACACTAGACATTGAGATCCCTATAGCCTATGGAAAACCCCATACACTAGACACTGAGCCCTACAGCACAGGGACATCCCCATACACTAGGAGACACTGAGCTCTACAGCACAGGGAAATCCAATACACTAGACATAGATGGGGGGGGGACTCTTGCAAATGTGAGGTCACAAAAGACTACATAATATAATAAGAGGTGGAAATACATTGACAGAACACAAAGCAGGAATGTAGAATTCTGATCACACACCTCATTATTCCTTAAACATACATCTAAAGCCAAAAAACAGGTTTTTGATTTTGGATACGGTGGGAAATTTGTACAACAGGAGCACCAAAGCAAATGGGGAAAGTTCAAATCACTTTGTGGTTCAAAGCATAACATAGGATCACAGAAACCATCCCAACGCGTTTCAGTGGCCAAATCACTTCCCGCATCAGGGCTTAGCTTTGTCCGGGCCTCATTGGACTCGGTAACACCAACTACTAAGCCAGGGGTCTCCAAACCTATTAAACAAAGGGCCAGTTTACTATCCTTCAGAATTTAGAGGGGGGGGGGGGGGTACTATGGCCAGTAGAAGTAGAAAAGGTCCTAACGTCAATGGGAAAAAAAATCACCAACACCATCTTTCATATCATTGGGAGGAAGAGTGCCCCATATCATTGGTGTCAGTGGGAGGAAGAGTGCCCCATATCATTGGTGTCAGTGGGAGGAAGAGTGCCCCATATCATTGGTGTCAGTGGGAGGAAGAGTGCCCCATATCATTGGTGTCAGTGGGAGGAAGAGTGCCCCATATCATTGGTGTCAGTGGGAGAGGAAGAGTGCCCCAGTGGTGGGAGGAAGAGTGCCCCATATCATTGGTGTCAGTGGGAGGAAGAGTTGCCCCCCATATCATGGGAGGAATAGTGCCCCATCATTGGTGTCAGTGGGAGGAAGAGTGCCCCATATCATTGGTGTCAGTGGGAGGAAGAGTGCCCCATATCATCATTGGTGTCAGTGGGAGGAAGAGTGCCCCATATCATTGGTGTCAGTGGGAGGAAGAGTGGGTGTCAGTGGGAGGAAGAGTGCCCCATATCATTGGTGTCAGTGGGAGGAAGAGTGCCCCCATCATTGGTGTCAGTGGGAGGAATAGTGCCCCCCATCATTGGTGTCAGTGGGAGGAATAGTGCCCCATCATTGGTGTCAGTGGGTAGTGCCCCATCATTGGTGTCAGGGAGGAATAGTGCCCCATCATTGGTGTCAGTGGGAGGAATAGTGCCCCATCATTGGTGTCAGTGGGAGGAATAGTCCCCATCATTGGTGTCAGTGGAGGAATAGTGCCCCATCATTGGTGTCAGTGGGAGGAATTGGCCCCATCCGTGTCAGCGGGAGGAATAGTGCCCCATCATCCGTGTCAGCGGGAGGAATTGTGCCCCATCATTGTGTCAGCGGGAGGAATTGCGCCCCATCCGTGTCAGCGGGAGGAAATTGCGCCCCATCCGTGTCAGCGGGAGGAATTGCGCCCCATCCGTGTCAGCGGGAGGAATTGCGCCCCATCCGTGTCAGCGGGAGGAATTGCGCCCCATCCGTGTCAGCGGGAGGAATTGCGCCCCATCCGTGTCAGCGGGAGGAATTGCGCCCCATCCGTGTCAGCGGGAGGAATTGCGCCCCATCCGTGTCAGCGGGAGGAATTGCGCCCCATCCGTGTCAGCGGGAGGAATTGCGCCCCATCCGTGTCAGCGGGAGGAATTGCGCCCCATCCGTGTCAGCGGGAGGAATTGCGCCCCATCCGTGTCAGCGGGAGGAATTGCGCCCCATCCGTGTCAGCGGGAGGAATTGCGCCCCATCCGTGTCAGCGGGAGGAATTTGCGCCCCATCCGTGTCAGCGGGAGGAATTGCGCCCCATCCGTGTCAGCGGGAGGAATTGCGCCCCATCCGTGTCAGCGGGAATTGCGCCCCATCCGTGTCAGCGGGAGGAATTGCGCCCCATCCGTGTCAGCGGGAGGAATTGCGCCCCATCCGTGTCAGCGGGAGGAATTGCGCCCCATTGTGTCAGCGGGAGGAATTGATGCGCCCCATCCGTGTCAGCGGGGGAATTGCGCCCCATCCGTGTCAGCGGGAGGAATTGCGCCCCATCCGTGTCAGCGGGAGGAATTGCGCCCCATCATTGGTGCCAGTGGGCCCCATTGTTGGTGTTATTTGGAGGAAATTATGCCCCATTGTTGATATCCAAGGATGGATTAGTGCCCCAAGGGCCAGATAAAAGCAAGCAAAGGTCTGCATCTAGCCCTGCGACCACAGTTTGGAGACCACTGCTCTAAGCCCTCGTGGTGGGGTAGTAGTTGGGACCCCGACACACATTGGATGTTTTAGGTGCCCATACTAGGATTACATTAAAGTGATTTTGCACCATTTGGTGTATTTTTATGCTTTGAAGCCGACACCTCATCCTCTACGTATGTTCCAGGTCAGTTCCTCACCAGGGCAACCCCACCGTTCGCCCTTCTAAAAACAAGTCAACAAAAGGGAACACATTCATCTCCCTTCATAGAGTTCCTTGACAAGAAGAGAAAACAACTTCATCTCAGCGGCCAACAGGAACAAAGGATTGTTTTCCAGGTACAGTGACCCAATCAAAGAGATGGTAAAGTCAATGTACCGGGTGGGGGGGGGGGGGGGGGGGGGGGGGGGGGAGCATGTCAAGATTCTGTACAATGACATTGGTCTGAAGGACTTCACACTCAGGCCGGCATGGTTAGGAAAGGGAGAAATGAACTCTGAAAATACTAAAATATCAGATGGCGTGCCACACTGGATGCCACCAACCGAGGGGGATCATTTTTTAAATTGCCCATTTGTGGACCCTTTCACACCGATGAATGCGTGTTGACCCAGCGCTGCCGTACCGGTCACTGATGGATCTCGGCAATAATCTGACTCGCTCTCGATTTCCTAGAATGATGCAGCCTTACCTCCCAAATGTAGATTTTTGTATTAAAATAGCAAATATGTTCTACTTACCTGCTCAGTGCAGAACCATTGCACCGATCCTCCTCTTCTGGGATTCCCCAAATGGTGCTTCTGGCTCCTCCTCTTTCTCTGTGTGCCCCCATAGGTAGCTGCTTGCTGTGGGGGCATACGTGTGTGCTCGCTCCTGAGCGGTGTCTATAGACACACTCAGCGCGGCTCAGCCCTGTCCCCGGTTCCTCCTCACAGCATTTGATTGACAGCATCAGGAGCCAATGGCTGCTGCCCAAGTCCCTGTGAGAAGAGGAAGAGCGGGGAGAGAAGGCAGCAGCCGGGCACATTGCTGGATCCCTGATAGGCTCAGCTTGGTGTTTAGAGAGGGGGGAGGGAAATAGTTGGATGTTTATTACCAGGGAATACATTAAAGTGGAGTTCCATCCAAATGTGGAAGTTCTGCTTTTCTGGCGCCCCCACAGGGTACCACATTTGGCACATTTTAGGGGGGAGGGGCTGGTTTTGACAGCTACCCGCTCCTACATCTGGCTCTGTTCGCTGCGGCAAACTGAGCCAGAAGTTTGGCTATCCCCCCCCCTCCCAGCCCTTTGGGACACTTCCAAGGTCCCAGGTTACTACGGCCCATTCACAAAGTGCAGCATGTGCAGTAGGAAACTGGCGGTGAAGCCTCAAGGCCTCACCACCAGTTTCCCATAGTCAAGATGGCGGCGCCACCACCCAACAGCCGATTTAAAAATCAGCTCGGGGTGAGGACAACCGTTGGATCCCTGGACAGGTAAGTGCCTAATATTAAAAGTCAGCAGCTAAAATATTTGTAGCTGCTGACTTTTAATGGGTTTTTTTTTGGGGCGGGGGGGGGGGGGGGGGGGTGGTGGGGGGACGGAACTCTGCTTAGAAGTAAAAACACACCCAAGTCTTTGGCACCACTTTTAGGCTGTCCTAACTCCTGCCGGGATTCAATGCTGATCTCATACTTGAAAAACTGAGCCATACAGGAGGTGCTGTCCTTGTGATGTAGGAGCCTTGAACCTCATACAGATGCGTTTGAACTCATTGGGTGCTTTGCGGTCCTAGAGGCTGCTCACCAGCAACTCCAGAGTCTTCCTGGACCCCCAGAAGAGTTTGTTGAAGTTTTGGAAGGATGGGAGCGGCACGCCAGCTTCTACAGACGTTTTAAAAGATCTTTACTTTGTAACAACCAACGCGTTTCGGGGGCTCAGCACTCCCCCTTCATCAGGGCACTTGGACTGTAAAGGCCTTTACAAATCTGTTACAAAATAAAAATCTGGTCAACAGGCCTTTACAGTCCAAGTGCCCTGATGAAGGGGGAGTGCTGAGCCCCCGAAACGTGTAGGCTGTTTTGAAAGATCTTTATTTTGTAACAACCGATGCATTTCGGGGGCTCAGCACTCCCCTTCATCAGGGCACTTGGACTGTAAAGGCCTTTACGGCCTGTTGACCAGATTTTTTTTTTTGGAACAGATTTGTAAAGGTCTTTACAGTCCAAGTGCCCTGATGAAGGGGAGTGCTAAGCCCCTGAAATGCATCGGTTGTTACAAAATAAAGATCTTTTAAAACGTCTGTAGAAGCTGGCGTGGCGCTCCCATCCTTCCAAAACTTCAACATACAAGAAGTGCTGTCAGGAACACAGGAAGTGCTGTCAGGAACACAGGAAGTGCTGTCAGGAACACAGGAAGTGCTGTCAGGAACACAGGAAGTGCTGTCAGGAACACAGGAAGTGCTGTCAGGAACACAGGAAGTGCTGTCAGGAACACAGGAAGTGCTGTCAGGAACACAGGAAGTGCTGTCAGGAACACAGGAAGTGCTGTCAGGAACACAGGAAGTGCTGTCAGGAACACAGGAAGTGCTGTCAGGAACACAGGAAGTGCTGTCAGGAACACAGGAAGTGCTGTCAGGAACACAGGAAGTGCTGTCAGGAACACAGGAACAGAAAATTAAAAGGATTTGGAAAATGTCAGTTTTACCCTCCTGCAGCAAACCTGGACAGAGTGCCAGTTATCCCTGAGCTCAGGCAGGAGAAAGGTCAGCCTCCGAGGGGGCCTTACAGGCCAACAAATAGAGAATACAGGTGAGCAGCAACACACTGCACTACTACAAACGCCATGGCTTGTTCTTCAATTTCCCAGCATGCTTTGCCATGCCTCAGGTCTGGAAGGCTGCAATGACTGGCCTAAAGGGCGGAAAGTAGGAAAATTAAAAGGTGATGCTTACAGGTACCTGGCTGGAGAGGGCGAACGTGCTGGCGGGACTCTTCTTTTTGCTGTTGCTGTTATTGGTGTTGCCCCCTCCAGAGCTCATTGTGCTCCCTCCAGACATCTTCCTTTTCCTCCTCTTATTGGGGGCCTGTCGGGCTGGTTCAGCTGCAGGAAAGACGGGACAGGTTTACATCGGCTGCTCCGGGGAGGACGGGCAGGACAGCTGTAATAAACAGGTCGGCTCACCAGGTGGTGCCACCATCCTCTGCCATTTCTGAAAGAGACACGTCTTGAGGCAGTCCCGGGGACTTAAACTGTACGTCTTGTGTCGGGACATGAGCTCCTGCATCGGCTCCAGAATTACGCAGAGCTGAGGGGGGGGAGAAGAAAGCATCAGTGATCAAAGATGTAACCTGTTCTTCACATACACCTGTCCTACGCTGAAAGAGAACCAGTCACCAATTTGATAAATTGCAGAAATAAAAAAATGTAGAATTTTATATTCGCCTAAAGTGATATTAAAAGTGCAGTTCAAAAAAAAAAAAAAATTATATATATATATATATATATATATATATATTATATATATATATATAATAGCAAGGCACTTGCTATGAGGGAACTGGTGTGTGCTCGTTGCTGAGCCCCGCTCTATGTATCCATAAAACACAGCCATGACTCGGCCCCATCTCTGCTCTTCTCATTGCCCTATTGGCTGTGATTGGCAGCAATGGCTCCCGCTGCTCTGTCTCCGCCTATGAGGAGAGAGAGAGAGAGACCCAAAAAAGCGAGGCTCCCTGCGTGGGGTGATGAAGGGGCGCTGCGTGGCTCCAAAACGTTGCTGCTGTATAAATTATGTGACCACTAAAAGCATTGGACCCTTCTGAGGATTCCTTGGTGTGCTGGTGACATTCTTCCTCGATTGTCTGCGGTTCCCAGCCCGCGGTCACTACAGCACCCAACACTACTTAACAGCCATTTGCAGGAACGTGTGCATGGGGAAAAACTGCATTTGGATCCATGTACAAAGCCAGCTTCACGAAGACCTGGTTTGACCAGTTTGATGTGGAGGAACACGAGTGGTACTGACCTCAACACTAATGAACACCTTAGGATGAATTGGAACACCGATTGTGAGTCAGGTCTTCACATCCAAGATCAGTACCTGACCTCATCAATGAGCACAAAATTCCCCAGACATCCAAAATCTTATGAAAAGCCTTCCCAGAAGAATGGAGGATGTTATAGCCACAAAGGGAGGCCACTCCCTATTAATGGTCATGGTTTTGGAGTGGTGTGTCCAGCAAGCTCATGTAGGTGTGATGGGTGGAGGAACTCAAGTGTCCTCCACAGAGCCCTGACCTCAACCCTACTGAGCACCTCTGGGATGAATACCAACGTCAACTGTGAGCCGGGTCTTCTCACCCAACATCAGCAGGATATGTTATAGCTGCAGGCACAAAAGAAACTAGAACATGCATAAAAGTGGCCACCCGCCCAAGTCTATAACTGGCTTATGAAGCAAGGCCCAGTTATAGACTTGGACGGGTGGCCACTTTTATGCATGTTTGAGTTTTTGGTACGTGGGTGCACTAGGACCCTGGGTGCCATTTTGCTACATGCTGGGGTCCAGTGCACTCCTTTGCCTTTAAGAGGGGTGGCTCCCTCAGGTCCACCTGCCCATGATCTATCCATTAAATGCATGTGCCTCTACTATGGGGACGCACAAATTTTAGAGTTAGGACCACAGATTACCAGGGTGCCGTGTCGTGGCTCTGTGGCTTACGTATGTATTTGCAAATGTGTGCTAACTAAACCCCTGTTATAAACGCATACTGTTAGACAGGTTAATTCGGTTGTTAGCAAGCTGGCTGGCAAGTTGTCCAAGAACATTGTTCTCTCCCCTTTATTCACAAAATAAACTAGAACCTGGATATCATTGGTACCCAGACTGGTAGTGTTGGATCTGTTGGTCATGGGAACAGCAGTCTCGGTACTAATGATATCCATGTTCTAGTTTCTTTTGTGCCTGCAGCTATAACCTGTTCCGCTCTTCAGGGCAGACTTTCCACAAGGTTTTGGAGTGCCTGTGGGAATTTTGTATTCATTTGTCAGGTCAGGCACTGATGTTGGTTGAGAAGACCTGGTTCACAGTCGGTGTTCTTATTCATCCCAGAGGTCAGGGCTGTGTGCAGGACATTCAAGTTTCTCCACCCCAAACTGGTCAAACCATGTCTTGATGTTGGATGAGAAGACCTTGCTTGTAATTGGTATTCCGGTTCATCTCAGAGGTGTTCAAAAGCATTGAGATTGTGGGGGTAGGTGCGGAAAGCCATGGAGAACAATTATTAGTGTATGACCTAAAACACGGCTTACATGTCTTGGGGAATTGGGCTCCTCCTTCAGGTCTTTGCTGTTCCCATGACCAACAGATCCAACACTACCAAAGTCCTGAAGAAGGAGGAGCCCAATTCCCCAAGACATGCAAGCCGTGTTTTAGGTCATACACTAATAATTGTTCTCCATGACTTCATGTTCATGCGTGGCTTTCCTTTGCCACAGACACTCAAAAATCTTGTGGAAAGCCTTCCCAGAAGAATGGAGTGTGTGTGGCAATTTGTGCCCATCTGTGATGTCAGACACTAATGCTGGATGACACCTAGGTTGCATGTTGGGGCTCACATTGGGCAGAAAAAAAAAAAAAAAAATTGGCTCACAGTAAATGTTTTAATTCACCTCAAAAGTGTTCCGCAGGGTTAGGGTCAGGGCTTTGTGCAGGACACTCGAGTTTCTCCACACCAAACTGGTCAGACCATGTCTTGATGTTGGATGAGAAGACCTTGCTCGTAATTGGCGTTCCAATTCATCTCAAAGGCGTTCATTAGTATTGAGATTGTGGGGGTAGGTGAGGAAAGCCACGCATGAACATGAAGTCATGGAGAACAATTATGAGTGTATGACCTAAAACACGGCTTACATGTCTTGGGGAATTGGGCTCTTCCTTCTTCAGGACTTTGGTAGTGTTGGATCTGTTGGTCATGGGAACAGAAAAAATGAAGGAGGAGCCCAATTCCCCAAGACATGTAAGCCGTGTTTTAGGTCATACACTCATAATTGTTCTCCATGACTTCCTGTTCATGCGTGGCTTTCCTCACCTACCCCCACAATCTCAATACTAATGAATGCCTTTGAGATGAATTGGAACGCCAATTACGAGCAAGGTCTTCTCATCCAACATCAAGACATGGATGACCAGTTTGGTGTGGAGAAACTCGAGTGTCCTGCACAAAGCCCTGACCCTACGGAACACCTTTGGGATGAATTGGAACAGCGACTGTGAGACAGTTTTTTTTTTTTCTGCCCAAAATGCAACCTAGGTCTCATCCAGCATTAGTGTCTCATGTCACAGATAGGCACAAATTCCCACAGGACCCCAAAATCTTGTGGAAAGCCTTCCCAGAAGAATGGAGGATGTTAAAGTCACAAAGGGGGACCAACCCTATACTTAATGCCCATCTTTTTGGAATGAGATGCCCAAGAAGCTCATAAAGGTGTGAAGGTCAGGAGTTCACACAAACATGGACATATCATGTGGTCTAGAGGATGTCCTATTCCCCCCCCCCTCCCTTTGACCTCTCATCACACACAGCTCAGGTAGGTATCTGTACATTACAGAATAGGGATTTATCGAACTTCTAGTGTAGCTTCCTTACTCGGAGGTAGTTGAGTGTAGAGTTCGATAGTCCACATCTTGTGATGTTCTTTGACAGCTGGTCCAACATTTGTGGGTCCTGGGCCTAAAAGGTGAGACAGTTCAGATGGCAAATCTAAAAATCAAGGGGGATCTGTAAAGTCCAACACTATAAAACATGCGTGCTTCTTTTCTGGTATGACCTGTCCTTTTATATCTTTTCGTGACATGTATGTGCTGATGTATTTCTGCCCATTTATTCCCCAGACTTGCCCAGCTCTCCCGTGCAGCACAGCCAGCCTGGAGACCTCAGCCGCAGTTCTGTAACACCTGCAGGTCTTGTCTCTCCCCAGCCTGTGATTGGACAGTGAAAGGAGAAGCAGACAGATGAGCTGATCTCTCCGTCACTCTGCTCTCTCCTCCTAACAGCATGTTCCTGGTTAGCACAAACAGACTGAACCGATTGGCTCGTGTGGCTGCTTCTCCAAGCCAGAGCTCTACTGTACAGGGACTGCAAGAGGCTGAGAGATACGTCAATCATTCTGATACTTCTACTGCTTGTATAGAAAAATACACTTTGAGTGGCCCTTAGCTGTGTCCCCGCTTCTTCCCGCCTCCCTCTCTTACAATTGGACATAAAAAAAAATATAAAATTTGTGCTATAAAAGCATTTCTGTGTTTCTCACTCATAGAATGACACTTATATCCTCTGAGGAAGTGTTTTGACACGAAACGCGTCAGGGAGGTGCCCCAACCTGTGTGCATATACCGCAAGGCCATCCCGATTGGTTGATATATCAGATCCGGATGTAAGTTTTTATCTGTTTATGCTAGAATTTTGACCATTAAAGACCTACTACACTATTAGAAGCTTTCTTGGGGCTCATTTCCACGTGAGCCCGTTTTTGAAGGTTCCTGAGGATTTGGATGATATAGGACTCCCCCCTCTCCTGCTGATGATGGCCCTGGTGGAATACTTAAGAATACACCTAGACTGATGACATCTAGTGGCCGACTTGCTGATGACATCTGCCTGGTATCAAGTCCAGAGCACCAGGAGCGGGTCTTAATTGCTCCATGCGCAATTAATGCGCTATCTGGTTAGTGCATTGTGTGTACATTCACAACAACACAAGAGTCACGTTTATTCTTGATTATGGACTTTTGGAACACCTGCACTTAATCACTTTACTAGAAGGACTGAGTTATCTAACATATTTAACATCTGTTATTGTGCATTATTTATTTATTTGCTTCGTCACTTGATTATACTTACATTAGCGCTGCATACTTATTTTATATTCTTTTATACCCATCCCCCGTGCCTGTGGAGATGTGCCACAGGGCTTCAGGTCCCGAGCGAGCCTTGTGGCACAGCTGCGCATGCGCGAGTTCCACCAACTATCTGCGAATGCGTGCGGCTTCCCGCACATGTGCAAAGACGGCTATTAGGGAAGTCCTAAACCTTTGCCGTCTGTTTGCATGCGCAGAAAATCTCCTTCCAGGGAGCAGATGTGCCGAGGGCTCTACCAGGACCTGAGAGCCAGGCAGAGATCTTTGGCTCATCAGTGCATGTGGCACAATGGTGGTAGCGGAGGGCAGGGGGGTGGTGGTGTTTAGATGGGGGGGGGGGTTTGGTGTTGTCATCCAGGAGACGGAGTGAAGTTCTGCTTTAATGAGATTTTTAAACGAACACAAATCTGCATGAATTGGTGCTCTTATCCCCTTTATGTATTCTGAGATGCATTACACTTACATGCATGGCGAGGATACTGCGGGGAATGAGTTCTCGATGTTGCCGGATGCTGAAATGCCACGTTTTTATCCTCATCATGTCATCAAACATGAACTCCAGGTATAACCGCCCCTCCACACACACCTAGAGAGGTAAGTGCAACGTATTTACGGAACATGAAGCAAAAAGGAAACATTATTACTACTATTACAGGTACTTCTATGGCGCCGGCAATTTACATATATATTGTACATTCACATCAGTCCCCGCCCCTCAACAGAAGAGCATAATGCTGAACATAAATCCACAGGACAAGGCACACGGAGAATACACGGAGAATACACGGATACACGGAGCACACGCCTGAACCTGAAGGAGAACGCACATCTCATATCTCCCATAGTATGAAGGAATTGAATCTCTATAGTTCAGTATTCTTACAGATCCTCATATGACAACCTGACAACTTATCAAGAATTCGGAGTGTTAGGCTGGCCATACATTATACAATTTTATTATTTTCTTTTAGAATATATACATACATACAGTTGTGTTCAAAATAATAGCAGTGTGTTGAAAAAAGTGACTAAAGCTGAAAATCCTTCTAATCCTTTTATTTCCATCCACACAAATGCATTGGGAACACGACACATTCTATTCCAAATCACAACATGAAGAAAAATACATCAAATTTGTGTTGTTCCTCTAAAAAAATGGAAGAAAAGTGAATATTAGACGGTTCAAAAAAATGGCCGTGTTTGTATTCTTCTTTACAAACTCAAACATTCACTATATAAACTGAGAAATGTTTGAAGATTTTGCTTTCCTTTGAATGACTTCATGAATATTTGGTTGTAGTCGCACTGTTTCTGAGAACTGCTGTACATCTGTGTTGCATGGAGTCCCCCAACTTCTGGCCCCTGTGATCAGGTATTCCAGCCCAGGATGATTGGACCACATTCCACAGTTCTTCTCTATTTCTTGGTTTGGCCTCAGAAACGGCATTTTTGATGTCACCCCACAAGTTTTCTATTGGATGAAGATCCGGGGATTGGGCTGGCCACTCCATAACGTCCATCTTGTTGGTCTGGAACCAAGATGTTGCATTTACTGGTGTGTTTGGGGTCGTTGTCTTGTTGGAACACCCATTTCAAGGGCATTTCCTCTTCAGCATAAGGCAGCATGACCTCTTCAAGTATTCTGATGGATTCAAACTGATCCATGATCCCTGGTATGCGATAAATAGGCCCAACACCGTAGTATGAGAAACATCCCCATATCATGATGCTTGCACCACCATGCTTCACGGTCTTCACAGTGTACTGTGGCTTGAATTCAGTGTTTGGGGGTCGTCTGACAAACTGTCTCCGCCCACTAGACCCAAAAAGAACAATCTTACTTCCATCAGTCCACAAAATGTTGCGACATTTCTCTTTAGGCCGGTCAATGTGCTCTTTGGCAGATTGTAACCTCTTCAGCACGTCTTTTTTCCCAACAGTGGGACTTTGCGGGGACTTCTTGCAGATAGCTTGGCTTCACATCGGCGTCTTCTAATTGTAACAGTCCTCACAGGGAACGTCACACCTTCTTTCATCTTCCTGGAGCTGATTGTTGGCTGAGTCCTTCCACATCTTTCAGGTTTTGGTTGCCATTTTAAAGCATTTGCCATCATTTTAGCTGAGCAGCCGATCATTTTCTGCACTTCTTTGTATGTTTTCCCCTCTCCAATCAACTTTTTAATCAAGGTACGCTGTTCTTCTGAACAATGTCTGGAACGACCCATTTTCCTCAGAATTTCAGAGAGAAATGCACTGTAACCAGCATGTCCAACATTTGCTGCCTTCCTTCCTTAAATAAGGGCAATAATTGCCACCTGTTTATCAAAGAATGAATGACCTCACTAATAGAACTCCACACTGCTATTATTGTGAACACGCCCCTTTCAATGAGTGATTCAATGACACAGAATCAGCAGCATGCATGTCATGACTGTCGGGTCTGTTGGGTTTCTATGACTCTACTACACCTGCTAGGAAATTATTTGCCATGTAGAGATATCATTTCCACCAAAAACAGCGATTGATCCGGTTAGTGATGTCTGACTGCTATATTCATGAAGTCATTCAAAGGAAAGTAAAATCTTCAAACATTTCTCAGTTTATATAGTGAATGTTGGAGTTTGTAAAGAAGAATACAAACACGGCCATTTTTTTTGAACCGTCTAATATTCACTTTTCTTCAATTTTTTTAGAGGAACAACACAAATTTGATGTATTTTTCTTCATGTTGTGATTTGGAATAGAATGTGTCGTGTTCCCAATGCATTTGTGTGGATGGAAATAAAAGCGATTAGAAGGATTTTCAGCTTTAGTCACTTTTTCAACACACTGCTATTATTTTGAACACAACTGTATATACACACCTTTTTCAGACTTCGCCTTTAAAACACCATACCAGATTATTTTTGACATGTGTGTACCATTGGGAAAATTTTCCTTCACTTCCTGTCCCAGAGATGGGGGATTCCCCATCTTATAAGGTTGCCATTGGCACAGGAAGATTCCCCCTTACCTCTTGTTCTGGGGACAACTGCAAAATATTGGATTTCCCCTCCCCCCCGTATGATAATAGCCATCAAGATGAAAAAAAAAAAAAAATTAAATCTCCCCAGTGGGGACACAGGCAGCAATAAGAACAGAGGGCGGCTCTCCCACACCATCCAAAGAATGTATTTCTTTTAAAGTTTTTTTTTTTCCCTAAATATTTGTTAAGGACCTTAGATTGTACACCCCCTGAAGGTTGGGGACAGATGTGAAGGTACAATATATATGTAAATGCTGCGTAAACTGATATAAAAAGACACTTTCAGTACAGATCTGTAAAACCTGAGCTGTCATAACAATAACTGACCACTAGATGTCCCCCTTGTTATTTCAATAAATTAGTGGCCCAGACCTGCAAGAGCCACGATTGGTCGGCAGGTCCTGAGCCATGATTGGTCGACAAGTCGTGAGCCATGATTGGTCGACAAGTCGTGAGCCATGATTGGTCGACAAGTCGTGAGCCATGATTGGTCGACAAGTCGTGAGCCATGATTGGTCGACAAGTCGTGAGCCATGATTGGTCGACAAGTCGTGAGCCATGATTGGTCGACAAGTCGTGAGCCATGATTGGTCGACAAGTCGTGAGCCATGATTGGTCGACAAGTCGTGAGCCATGATTGGTCGACAAGTCGTGAGCCATGATTGGTCGACAAGTCGTGAGCCATGATTGGTCGACAAGTCGTGAGCCATGATTGGTCGACAAGTCGTGAGCAGATTGTCGGCAGGTCCAAAGGCTGCTTCACTACAGTCCTAATAGGAAGAAAATAACTGAAATCTGATGTATTGGAGTTTGCAGGTCAGTTCCTGCCTCCAGCATATCCCTATTGGCCACTGAGGCAACTGATGGGAGTAAACTGCCAATAGGAGTGCCGGGGGGGGGGGGGGGGGGGGTGCCTGAGGCTACTTCACTGCTTCTGTCCTGAAATTCGAGGATGAATTGCTCCATGGTGGCTGCAGCTGAGCTGAACAGAGGCTAGTTTTAACCCTTTCGCCGCACGCTGCCACCGATTGCTTCCACAGTCCCCGGTACCGGTGACCCCCCCCCCAAATGTATCCGGGCCTCACTTGCCCATCTGTGAGCCTGGGGAGCACTATGGTGGGTGGAGGGAAGAGCGGATGAATGTCCAACTCTCCTCCTCTTCTTTCTGTGACTCGGGAGGCGACATGTATGATGTCACTTCCGGGTCACGGCTGTCAGGTGTATACATGTATTGCAATGTGATGAGATGCGATCTGCACTTCACTACATCTAGAGGAGACATTGGGGGCCTTTTAATCCTGCATGTGTCATTAAAGAGACCCTGTCACCTAAAACTCATCACATGGGGGGGGGACTGTGTACCCTATGCGACCAAAAAAAAAATTTGTCATTGCAAAAAAATAAAGTTACACATCCAAGCACATAACATCCCCCCCAAAAAATAAATAAAATTGAAGCCCCCCAACATATACGCACTTACAAACGTAAACGCATGCATCGGGGGCGCCTTCACGTGAAAACGTCGTTTGGGATACAAGTTACATGTCGCCTCGCACTGCGGAGTGAGCGATAATTCTGGCAGCAGATCTCCGTAAACGCCAAACTGATGACCTGTAGGAGGCTGTTGAAGCGTCGCCTTTAGAAAATTATAGGGTACTGAAGTCTGCCGCCATTTCACGGGCGCACACAAATTTGGTATGTTGGGTATCTATTTACTCGGCACAACCTCTTCTTTTATATTTTACCAAACGTTTGGGTCATTAATTGCATTTGTTAGCTCTAAAATTGACTTTACTGTGTTTTGTTACTGAAATTCTGCGTTTCCAGACATTTATGGCAATATCCAGCGACATTTATTTATTTCAGGTGCTTATATAGCGCCATCAATGTACTCCGCGCTTTATTTATATATATATATATATATATATATATATATACATTCACATCAGTCCCCGCCCCCGAGGAGCGTACAATCTAAGGTCCCTAACTCACATTCATACATACACATACTAGGGACAATTTAGACAGGAGCCAGTTAACCTACCAGCATGTCTTTGTAGTGTGGGAGGAAACTGGAGTACCCGGAGGAAACCCACGCAGGCACAGGGAAAACATGCAAACTCCAGGCAGTGGAGGTGCTGTGGTTGGGATTCGAACCACGACCCGAGTACTGCCAGGCGGAAGTGCTAACCATTTAGCCCTGTGCTGCCCAACGACATAAAAAATTGGAACTACCGCCATTTTATTCTCTAGGGTGTCCGCCTTCAGAAAATATTTCTCGTTTGGAGGGTTTTGTGTCGTCTTCAGGCCTGAAATAATTTTTTAAACGCGTGCAAAAAAAAAAACCAAAACTGGTTCTGGCAGCGAAGGAGTTAACGCCAATTTGCAGCTCGTTAAAATGTGAACCCTTCGAAGTCCACGGCCCGCCCACCGTTCTACGTGAGGCCCCGCCCACCGCGTACCCAGCAGCCCTCTTACCTGTGTGAACATGGGCTTTCCATGCTGTGTGACCATCGTGCACTGATCGCAGTCCAGGGAAACAAAGTTGTTGTGGAATGACTCCTTGGGGTGTTTGAGGACGTAGTACAGCTCTGTGGCCCCTCCCTCAAATATGCTGCGGAAATAGCGGGGAATAAGCGTCCTTCCAATGGCTAGGAATAAACAAACATACAGAGTCAGATCACACGGATGTCCTGAATGTTACAAGCCTGCCATGTTCCCCATTAGCCGGAACCCTCTAGCCCCCTCTGTAGGTGGGAGGACCACAGACGCCACGGCCTCAACTGCCAACCTATCAACTAGTACAGAGGAAACTTTGATAAAGGTTTAGGAAGAAAAAGAGATTTAAATGGGTTTCAAGAGGCAACTTCGCTGTTATTGCCCCATTGACATAGAGCTTACCGCCCTCTGAAACGCAATCTACGGCGGGTGACTTTTCAGAGGGCGGTTTAGCAGCAGGTGACAGGCGTGCAGGAGGCACAACTGTCACTTCTTGGCATGTTTTTTGTTACTTTTTGGTTTACAGTGGGAGACCGCACCACAACTGTGAGCCTTGTGCTTGGCTGAGGGTTGCAAGGCAGCCCCATTGTTCTCGATGGTGTGCCACCTGTAAAACTCTGCCACTGCCCTGAAGAAAAGCATCGAGGCCACGACATGTTACATAGTTAGTCTGGCTGAAAGAAGACAAAAAGTCCATCCAGTCCATGTGAACCACCCTGTCAGGCTGTAATGTTAAGACTTGGGTAGACAGCCAGGGGTGGTAATACAGAGGTTCAGTTGTCTGTTTTTACCGCCCCCCTCTGGCTGCTAGTGTGAAAGTGCTTACAGCAAAGGTCATGAAAGGGCTAACCATGCAATTTGATTGGTAGTAATTATTCACCCCTGAAGAAGCATTGGAATTTAATAGGTCCTCCTGCCTTCCCAACCCTGTAACTGCACCAAAGAACAAAGTGACGACCTACCAATGGTGAGACTTTAGGCCCTTCAGTCCTCCTTTTGCAGTTTTATTAGCCCAGTTATCTTGGGGAGCCGGGGTCAGGCATACAGGATACCCATAGATATTAGCAATGACCTCTCTGCACAGCTATCTGCTCGTTTCTTAGGCCTCTGCCACAGGTCAGCTTACATTCTTTAGATCGGGGTTCAGCTCCCCAAAAGGTGCAAATTAGGCTTCACTCTGGCTTATTCCTCAGCCAAGGGCCTGGACTCGGCTATGCAACTATTACCAAGCAAAGCTTGGAGCCAAGGACTTTTCACCTCTACAACCTCTCCAGCCAAGGGTCTGAGATGGAAGGTGGGGGAACGAAGGACCCTTCTGGAGTTCCATCCTGTCCAGACAATGGTCTGGGCAGGAAGAACTCTTAAAGAGCTATGACCTCTCCAGGCAATGGTCTTGGCAAGAAGGACCCTGCTAGAGCTATGACCTCTCCAGGCAATGGTCTTGGCAAGAGGGACCCTGCTAGAGCTATGACCTCTCCAGGCAATGGTCTTGGCAAGAGGGACCCTGCTAGAGCTATGACCTCTCCAGGCAATGGTCTTGGCAAGAGGGACCCTGCTAGAGCTATGACCTCTCCAGGCAATGGTCTTGGCAAGAAGGACCCTGCTAGAGCTATGACCTCTCCAGGCAATGGTCTTGGCAAGAAGGACCCTGCTAGAGCTATGACCTCTCCAGGCAATGGTCTTGGCAAGAAGGACCCTGCTAGAGCTATGACCTCTCCAGGCAATGGTCTTGGCAAGAAGGACCCTGCTAGAGCTATGACCTCTCCAGGCAATGGTCTTGGCAAGAAGGACCCTGCTAGAGCTATGACCTCTCCAGGCAATGGTCTTGGCAAGAAGGACCCTGCTAGAGCTATGACCTCTCCAGGCAATGGTCTTGGCAAGAAGGACCCTGCTAGAGCTATGACTTCCCCGACAATGGCCTGGGAGAAGAGGACCTTTCTAGAGCTAAGACCTTTTCAAACAATGGTCTAGACAGGAGGGACCTTTCTAGACCAGACTTCTGCAATCAATGGCTGGAAGGGAAGGACTCTTCTAGAGCTATGACCTATCCAGGTGATGGTCTGGGAGGGAAGGACCCTTCCAGAGCTATGACCTCTCCAAGGTGATGGTCTGGGAGGGAAGGACCCTTCTAGAGCTATGACCTCTCCAGGTGATGGTCTGGGAGGGAAGGACCCTTCCAGAGCTATGACCTCTCCAAGGTGATGGTCTGGGAGGGAAGGACCCTTCTAGAGCTATGACCTCTCCAAGGTGATGGTCTGGGAGGGAAGGACCCTTCTAGAGCTACGTCCTCTCCAGGTGATGGTCTGGGAGGGAAGGACCTTTCCAGAGCTATGACCTCTCCAAGGTGATGGTCTGGGAGGGAAGGACCCTTCTAGAGCTACGTCCTCTTCATGTGATGGTCTGGGAGGGAAGGACCCTTCTAAAGTATGGAGTCTCTTCAGGTAATGAGGGGGGGAACCCTTCTAGAGCTATGATCTGTCCAGGTAATTGTCTGGCTGGGAAGGACCCTTCTAGAGCTACAACCACTCCTCCAGACAGCAGACTGGGAAGTAGAGAACTCTTCTAGAAGGTCCCTTCAAATACTATGTCTTCACCCCCAGCCCACCCCGCTCAAATAAACCTCTCAGTGATTGGCCAAGGCAGAATATTCACAATCCAACACTTCTTACTCTAACGACTGGAAAACTCTCAACAGCAGCAGGCAGAAGCAATTGATCACCTGGACTTCGGAGAATCTCAATGAACACAGATAATGCAAAGCTCAGGCTGGCTACAGCCTAACTGCAAATTTCCACAATTTGATTACAGCTTTTTTTTTTTTTTTTTTTTTTTAAAACGTGGTGCTTTCTGAAACCTTGTGAACAAAAAAAGTGAACCGTGAAATCACAGCACACAAAAAACACGTGCAAGGGTACAGTAATGGCCAAACCTCCAAAGAGGAAAGGCCTCAAACCCTGAAGCCCCTGGGTCACAAGGCTCCTGACAAGGGCAAAGCATTCTGTGGTCTACTTCGGCCAAAGCCAAGTGGACCCGGCTCCTTAGGGACCTGTTGAAGCTGGTCCTCCAAGTACTTGGTGGAGGGGGGGGGGGGGGGGGGTGTGTGTCTCCTGCAGAGGGACTCCATGATGTACGGCTCGGTGATTAGTGATGTCCAGCTTGAGGCATTGTTCCTACAGTAATTATTCGGGGTGGTCCATAACCTATCCTCCACCGCACTGCAGAACCCCCAAGAGATCAGAGCAATGTCAGAATGTGAGGCAGCTTCAGGGAAGGGACTTTACAGTGACCCTGTCCTACTAAAGGAGAACACCTTTCACTTCCTGTTCCAAGGACAAAACAGGAAGTGAGGAAACCTCTCCAAAGTCCAGGGAAATCCACTCTCCAACAGTTGTCACCAGAACTTACTAAAATATTCTATTCCTGTTCTAGTGACAACTGAAAAATTTTGGATTTCCCATCCAAAGTTTTGACTTTGGATACAATTTAATTCTCCTTTTGCAGGTTACAAAGCAAAAGCTGAAACCCCATTGGCTGCTGAGAAAAGAGGTGCCATTTTTCTTTGGTTTTCATTGGATGATGAGGACAGATTGTATTATTCCCAATGCCTGGGGCACCCATGGATGGGAAGCAACATGGAGGAGAACTCACTGTATCTCTTTGGTCCATCCTCCAAGCAGAAGGTGATGGTCAACATGGCGTCATCTTCAAAGAACTCTGTAGTGAAAGCGTCCCACCAGAGATTGTCACATTCCTGAGAACAGAAGAGCGACATTTACAGCGTCGTCCAAAGTCCACCACACTCCCCCCAACACAACCAACCCGCCATTCATACGTCGTAACTATGCGCTTCAAACTAAAGGGCACCCGGGGCCGGATTCCATTACTATTCCCCCAAGACACGCTTCGTCCCCGGTCACACCGCTGAGATTTAACACCGCGCCGTGTGCGATTTCAGTGCGATTTCTTCAAACTTTATTTGCAACTTCTGAAGATTTTCCACAATTTATTGCAATTTACAGTGTGATTTCCATTGTATTCTGTGTATGTGAAAATCGCAACAAAACTGCAGAAAAAAGTAATGGAACGTTAGAAATCGCACCGCAGAAAAATCGCACGTGAAGACACTGACATTCATTAGATGCAATTTCAGGTGCGACATCAAATCGCAAATTGTACCTGTGTGACTGGGCACTTATTGTGCTGCATAATAATGAGGTTAAATGCCAAGGCCCTAGCATTCCAGGATGCATCTTTGATGGAAGGGGGGGCCGCTTCCCTGCCAACGAAAAGGGGGCCCGCTTCCCCGCGCCGACCGCCAACAAAAAGGGGGCCCGCTTGCCCGCCAACGAAAAGGGGGCCCGCTTCCCCGCCAACGAAAAGGGGGGCCGCTTCCCCGCCAACGAAAAGGGGGCCCGCTTCCCCGCCAACGAAAAGGGGGCCCGCTTCCCCGCCAACGAAAAGGGGGCCCGCTTCCCCGCCAACGAAAAGGGGGCCCGCTTCCCCGCCAACGAAAAGGGGGCCCGCTTCCCCGCCAACGAAAAGGGGGCCCGCTTCCCGCCAACGAAAAGGGGGCCCGCTTCCCCGCCAACGAAAAGGGGGCCCGCTTCCCCGCCAACGAAAAGGGGGCCCGCTTTCCCCGCCAACGAAAAGGGGGCCCGCTTCAACGAAAAAGGGGGCCCGCTTCCCCGCCAACGAAAAGGGGGCCCGCTTCCCCGCCAACGAAAAGGGGGCCGCTTCCCCGCCAACGAAAAGGGGGCCCGCTTCCCCACCAACGAAAAGGGGGCCCGCTTCCCCGCCAACGAAAAGGGGGCCCGCTTCCCCGCCAACGAAAAGGGGGCCCGCTTCCCCGCCAACGAAAAGGGGGCCCGCTTCCCCGCCAACGAAAAGGGGGCCCGCTTCCCCGCCAACGAAAAGGGGGCCCGCTTCCCCGCCAACGAAAAGGGGGCCCGCTTCCCCGCCAACGAAAAGGGGGCCCGCTTCCCCACCAACGAAAAGGGGGCCCGCTTCCCCGCCAACGAAAAGGGGGCCCGCTTCCCCGCCAACGAAAAGGGGGC